TCCTCTTCTTTAGATTATTGTAGCACACATTATGTTTTTTGTTTTTGTTTTTTGTTTTACAAGTATAAATAAAAAAAACATCAGTTGGCTCAAAACTCTGCAGCAATACACTTACATAATATATTCTGTCAACAGCATTGAGGATGATTTGTGTCCAGCTACATCTGGCATAAAACCAGCACAGCGTTTTAGAGAACTTTAGAGTGTCTTACCAAGGTGGTGTTTTGATGATCAGGGATTGCTTCGCTGCTTCTGACCCTGAAAAACCTGATGTAATTGATGGAACAGTGAAGGTTGCTCTCTCGGTGGAGGAAATAATCTGGCTGTCATTTTGTGCCCAAGGGCCAGAACAATGATCTGAAGCGCACCAGGAAGTTCACTTCTGAAAGCCTATAAATGAGTGCAGTGAAGGTTTTGCTGTGCTCTAGTCAAAGTTCTGACTTAAATCAGGTCGTTTGTGCTTGGAAACCCTCCAGTCCAGTCCTGCAAAGGAGAGCGGTACAAAATTCCTCTACGGTCACATGACAGTTATTGCAACCACTTGTTATCACTTTGCCCACAATAGGTGTGAGTGTAAATGACTTTGTCACAAATGTGAAAACAGCTTTTTGTGTTTTTTCAGGTTATTGTCATCTGATATTAAATCAGTGTTTAATGATCTAAAACAGTAAAGTGTGACAAAAAAAAAAGTCAACAGTAGAAAGAAGCTGTCAGGAGGCATGTACTTTTCCACAGCGAGACCTAGACTAACAATAATTGCCACAGCATATTTTTAAAAACACACGCAGGTACGTGGAATTTCAACTATTATTACTACTGTTTTCATACATGCAGCTGGAGAGGAACTTCTTCAGAGCCTACCACAAAAAAATAAAAACGCCTGAAATAACTGAATAAAAACCAGGCATAAAATCTGGTAAATTGGAGGCCAGGCTTCACAGGTTTCTCTGCATTTAAGAAACGGGTAACACTTTATTTGAAGGGGGTTGAATAAGACTGACATAACACCTGTCATGAACATGAATAAGCCTTCATGAATATTTATGACTGTTGTCATAAAGCGTCATTCGGTAAATTATGACACTTTTAATACAAAGTTGACATTATTCAAAATGTCTTTGTTATGACAACTTGACATTAACCAGGAAATCATTACTGTTTAAACTTTACCTTTAATAACATAAAGTTACTGATTGCACTTTAAAAATTAGGTAATACTTTTATAACAAATTTATATTAGTAATTATTTTTTGGTTAATGTCAAGTTGTCATAACAAAGACATTTTGAATAATGTCAACTTTGTATTAAAAGTGTCATAATTTACTGAATGATGCTTTATGACAACAGTCATAAATATTCATGAAGGCTTACTGATGTTCATGACAGGTTCTTATGACAGTGTCATGACAGTCTTATTCAACCCCCTTCATATAAAGTGTTACCAAGAAATACAGTTAAATGTTTAAATTATTCATTTGAAATTGTGTGCCCCTATTATCTTCAAGTTCTTGTTCAGTGATAAACCTGACAATTTTAATTCTGATTTGTTTTTCTCTTTAAACTGTTTGTTCACAATTTGTAATAGACAGAAATGTTCAATTGCTGTCAGAGATTGTTCTGGAAGAAAAGAGCAAAAAATACAGACTCAATGCACCTTTTTTGAGAATTTTACAGCCATAAATTGAAAAACAAAACAAAACAAACAAAAACAAACAGGCGACCCAGTTGTAAACTATGGTCATACGACTGAGATCATTTTGAAATAAGGTAAAGGAGATTTATTCTTAAAAGAATCTAAAAGTGGGAAGAAGAATAAGAAAAAAAAGGAAATGAAGGAGAAGAGGGGCAGACGGAGGAGGGAGGGGAGAGAAACAGACCGGCTGTGGGAGGGAGAAGACAATGAGCGGTGGGCATTGGAGGTTTGGTGAGATGTGGAGGAGGACGAGGACAGCCAGGAGGGCAGGTGGTTCTGTCATTAGCTCCAGATTAAAGCAGAGGGCAACTCCAGAGGACTCACCTCTGATTCACACAGTGGTTCTGCAGGCAAGGACGAGCCTCGCGGGAGACAGGGAACACATGCACACATGTGAGAGAGCGTCCGGGCCGGAGACGCTGGAGTGATTCACAGGATTACCCACGGGCCCGTGATTATACACACATAAATACACACATATAGCCACACAACACCCCCTCCTCATTTACACCGTGACTCACAAGAACATGTCGACTCCCACACACACACACACATGATCTCTCACAGACACACACATCGCTGCACCACTTAATCAAATCTCCTGTTTTAATTAGGATTCAAATCAGTTGCCATGGGAACCTTGCCCCCTTGGAGTCTTAAAGGTAAGGCTCTGTGTGTTTTTTTCCCCTTTTTTCTTTTTTTTCTCACCCCCTCGCCTCCAGTGACTCTGCGGGAAGCTGTCCGAGGAGCGGGACGAATTCATAATACCTACAGTGATTCAGCCCAATGTGTTCCACAATGCATTTTGCACACAGACACAATTTTTCTGGGGAGGCCCGAGGTGCCAAATCTGAACTTCAATTTGGGCTCAGTCACAGTAAGGGGCACGGAAATGAGGGGAGGGGTGGGAGAGGGAAAAAAAAAGAAAAAACAGAATTACGACGGCTCACGCTGCTATTCCTGATGATTCGACGTCCTCGCTCATGAAAAGGCCACGCGCTGGCATTAAGAAGGGGAGGTTTTTTTTTGCTTTTTTTTTGCAGAGGCCTGTCCAATCAATCGGTGACACTGTGAAAGTTTTCACATGGCAGGGCGCGTAAAAGCCTCTTTTACGCCGCTCACCCAGGTTGGTTTGCCATTCCCATTACAGCAGCCATGCTTTCAACAAGCTTTGGGCTTGCACGCATGTCCTACAACTCGACTCTTCAAAGAGGTATGAAGCTTGCTGATCAAAAGAATGCGTTTTAGAAAAGAAACATCGCGCGCTGCACTTCAAGAGTATTTGCACAGTTTGAACTTTACTGCATTTTACAATGTTACAAACTGAATTTTTTTTTTTCGATGGGTGTTACTGGACTGTGAGTTCGACGCCGACAGAATAGAGAAGTTGCAGAAAAATTACGAATGGATTTCAAAGTCAGATTAAAAATCATTCAACTTTGACATCTTTTTGTATTCAGCCTCTTTTGTTCAAGCGCTCCTAAATAAATAAAAATACTCTCAGGATAAATAAGGTCAACATTCTTCTGTGTGGATTATTCTTTTGTTTTTCATGGAAACTAGTCAGAGCTACATACAAGACAATGTCAGACTGAGACGTGTTGCCAAAACACTTGAAACAGGGTGGAGGCTCACATTAGCAGGAGAACTTCACTAACCATGTTGCCAGAGCTACCCTGGAATAATATAGATGTGTGTTACAATGTCCTAGTCAAAGTCCCGACCTAAATCCAACCGAGAATCTTTGGCAAGATATTAAGTCAAACGTAGCCTTAGCTTAGCTTGAGGACAGTCAGAAATGTTGTCCTTTACATTTTCTTAGATGGTGACACATACTCCAAAAGCACTTGTAGTTTTAAATGCTGGTTCTATTCTCTTTGCATGTCACAATTATGCAGAATTTAGTGTCAGCCTAACAGATGATATCCAAAATGTAGTCATTGAGGTTTGTTGTTATTATGTGACAGAACAGGAACATCTTCAAGGTGCGTGAATATACTTCTGGCAAAGAACTGTATCGATGTACCAGAATCGGTATCCTTCAGAATGTCAGCAGTTCTAACATTCGTGTTAATATTAATCAGACTGAGGAAATATTTATTCAGTGACTAATGCCGGCGCTCTGTTTAAAGTGATGTGGAGGCTTTAGTGTTAACACTAGCGTTTCATCTCACATGCTGATAAGACGAGCCAGAGGCTTATCTTTAAAAGACTGGATGAGAAAAGCTCAAAGTGCAGCCAAGCCGTGCCACCTTCATCCGTCCCGAGAGCCTTAATATCAGCTCAGGTGAAGGCTGGACGTGATGAATTAAGCGAGGAGGGGATGCCAAGCGAAAGCCATTAGGATACAAGAACTCGGGCGTTCGTCTGGCTTGCCGGTTGTCATGGTTGCGGTGTTTATCACCTCTTTCTGCCAACACGGGCCCAGGGGCAAATCAGATTGGCTTCAGACTGAGAGAGGGAGAGAGAAGGATACGGTGAGTGAGGGGGAGGACATATTGGCACAGCGGAGGGGTGAAATGCCAACACTCAGCAGAGTCAAGGCTGAAGAAGAGCACTGGACAAATGTCAATGTGGCTCATTCATGATAAGAGTGTGCTTCCATCCATTTGACTCAGATTTGGGGATTGAGACACAATTTGTTTACTACGCTGAAGGCTCTTTCTGTTTTGCTGATTTAATGCACAACAGATCTTCAGCAGATGTTGGGCGGCTCGCTGGAAGATCTCGAAATTCAGTGAAAACAGCATTATTAACCTATTATAGAGGTCTAGAGAGGCATCTAATCAGAAGTAAAACCTCCCCATCTCCTAGTGGCTTATGCCTGCCGCCTACCGGCCAAAAAAGCATCCAGGCCTAATATGACTGCATAAGTGGAGGGGAAAAGATCTGAAAGAGCTTAACTTTCATTCCGTGCGGGGCGAGGGGAGGAGGGGGGGGGCATCTCACAACAGCATTTATATCACCTTCAACTCCCCCAAGCTGATTTAAATTCCGAAAGGATCAATTATAACATTAACTTATTATGACAAGAGGCAAGCAGGACATTCTCAATCAGGCATCTATAATAGGTAACAGATGGTGTCGCCTTGTCGCTGCTGCCTGTCCCATCTCTGAGCACTGCAATGTAACCACCGCTGACTGCCAGGCGCACACGTGGGAGCACTTGAGCCCCGCCCCGTTGATTCCGCGCAGCCAATCGGCGCGCGTCGTGGAATCTTCTCAGCCAATCACAGCGCTGCTTGTTGAGGAAAGCGGAATTGACATAATGCGGACGTCCTGCTAACAGCAAGGAGGAAGGTATGGATACATGATAAACACGCCGGCGTTAAAAGTTATTTCTACTGACCAACAGATCTCCCAGGCGGTTGTTACACCCGTCTAACTTTCAACCCTGAGCAGAGGCGCTGCTTTTTTATACACTAAGCTACATCTCCTCCTCGGTATTGTGTGTTTTTGGAGCGCAGAGGTGTGGGGTTTGTTTCAGGGCGGTTGGGTTTTAGCTGACACCAAATTGAAAAGGGCGAAAGCCCCAGATAGCCGTTGTGAATAGCTGCATTGTGCTGGTAGGTTAGGCTTTGTGTGTGTGTGACAGCCCAGGTTCACACCTTTATCCCTCATGTCATATATAAATATATATTAAGAAAGTCCCGTTAAATGCTTTTGTTTACAATATTTCTGTTTGTTTTTGTTGCCCGAAGGGTCTTCATCATTGCCCTGTTCAGGCTGACACGGCGTGTCGCCGCGTTAACGACTAAATTCCCAGTGACGGCGAGCTGTCCTGTTGTTTACAGCCGTGCTCTGCTGTCAGTCCGCTGTGCCAAAGCCTCGTCACCTCTGCCGAAGATGCCGCAAACAAACAAGTCCAGTAGCACCCCGGCGGCTGACTCTCCGGGCTCGGTCCAGGCGGAGGCCCCGGCTTCCTGTGAGGAGAGCCGGGGTGCAAAAGATGATGGAGGAGGAGAGGACAATGTTGGAGACCGTGAGATCATCAAGTCACCCAGCGACCCGAAGCAGTACAGGTATAAAGCTCTTTCTGACGTGTTTTCGTTGGTGAACTGCGGCTTTGCCTGTTTTGACGAAAGACCAGCACTTAATACAGCTGAGCAGTGAGAAGCACATTGGTCTGAAAAGTGTGGCATGCACTTTAATTCAACCCCCTCTGAGGTGATACTGTTCAGAAGGATGTTTTACTTTTCTTTGTAAGAAGTCTCTTCCATCTTTGCAAATCCAAAGACCGGTGTTTTCACACCTCACTGACTGGTAGATTCGGTTCTTTTGGGCATCAAAATTGCAACATTTGTTACATTTACAACTTGGGCGGTTCACACTCGCACTGCGTCACATGACGATTTAGGTCTGGCATTTGACTGCTCCATTCAAACACATGGACGGTAGACGTCCAACCCAACTGTCAAGTCTTTTGCAGCCTCTAAATTTATTTATTTTTTTCCTGGCATTGATCAATGTTTAGCCCCATTAATCGTCCTATGAATTACCAGCTTCCCTGTTAAAGAAAAGCATGAAACTGCCATCCAGTGTTTTACAACTGGGATGTAAAACATCTTCAGGTTGATGTTTGTCGTCAGTCTTTCTTTACATACGACGTTTAGCATGTAATCTCAACTGTGAGATGGCTTTCAACAAGCTCTAACTAATGCTGTTATCTTTGCCAATCTCCCATAAAGGGAGCAACTAAAATTTATCCTGTCAACAGAATCCCCTGTCTGAGCTGTAGATCCTTCAGAGTCACCATGGACCTTCTGGTTACTTCTCTGAGTAATGCTCTCCTGTCACTTCAGAAGGACATCCATGTCTCATTAAGTTTGAAGTCGTGCCTTCCTCTTCTGTTCAATTCGTCTTTTTCAAACAACGGACCAAACAGTGCTCTGCGGGGTATTGCTTTGAAACCCGAACCCTGCTTTAAACTTCCCCACAACTTTCTGCCCGACCTGTCTGCTGTGCTCATGCTCTCCAGCAAACCGAGACAGCTGTGGTTATTCTGAGATTAAATTACACGCCGATGGATTTTAGTTACCGAATATAAGACTTCTGAAAGTATTTGGTTGCATTTCATGTCAAGCTGAAAATGTATGTTAACATCCAACCTTTTCCTTCCATTTCACAAAGATCTTCAAATCCTCATTGACAGGACATGCAAATAAGCGGAAGAAGATTTGGTTTGGGCTCAGCTGACTGAATTTATCGCCCCATGGCACTAGTCTTCCCTGGGCAGCGAGCCATAAAGCCCTAACCAAACACTGCCTCTGGGTAAAGCTCCTGGGGTTTTAGTTTGTTCCCAGTCACAGTGTTTAATTTAATTTCACATTCACTGAAATCTATCAAGAAGAGCTATTTTCTTGGTTCGTAAATGTGAAAGTAGAGATAAAATGACCCAGATCTACTAACCCCAATCCACAAATGATATTGAGCTTCTCCTCCAGCTGGATCAGTGCATTGTTATTATTGCACTCTGATGATCTGATTTCATGCTTTAAGCACACATCGGTGCCCCGGGCCGCCGCGGTGCGTAGTCAGAAAATGTGCTGCGGAAAAAGAAGCACAGAACAAGCCTCAGAGGGTTCGAGATGGAGCCTTCAAAGTAATACATGATTTAACAGCCCCGCTAAAAATCGGACAAGAGAAAGAAGAAAGTCGATGAAACTTGCGACGTTGGAGTTCGCCAAAGGTGGTCTTGTGGTTTTTACCTTCAGTTTTATGCTCCTCAGGTACATCGTTTTAGACAACGGCCTCGCAGCTCTGCTCATCTCTGACTTCAGTGGGCCGGCGGTATCAGAACATGATGACTTGGACAAAGAAGAAGAGGGGGACGATGATGACGACGAAGAAGAAGAGGAGGAGGAGGAGGAGGAAGATGAAGACGATGAGGAGGAGCATGAGGATGAGGCTGACGTGGATGAAGGCAGGGAAGACAAGAAGGGAGCTAAAAAGAAGAGAGGAAGTGCAGACAAACAGGTACCACACTGGTGTTTTACTGAAAAGCCTCTTTTAGACTGTAGCCTGCTGTACAAATGCTCAACACCCATTAAGTTTTCTTTTAAATGCAGATATGTTTATTTTTGCAACTTTCATTTTTTTCACTTATATTCAAATCAAAGTAAAGAAAAAATTATGTAAAAAAAACAAAAAAAGTGAAAGAGAAAGGATGAGTACAAGTCAGCAGAGAAGACAACCAAAAGTTTCAGAAGAGTGAATAAAATATGAACCCAAAGCTAAAGGAATGTTACAAGAGTCTGCAGTTTGAATTCAGTTTCATGAAGTTGAGGTGTATATGGTAACATTTCCAGTAATTACAGTAAAGTCTGACCAGACGTCCAAATGCAGCAGTTTGGATACCTAGCAAACCAACATCCCCTGGAGGGCCTTAAAAGCAACCTGCCACTATCCTAGTGTGGCTGAAATTTACCGCAGTGACAAAACTCAGAAAGCTGTCAAATAAAACACAAATTATTCTCCTTTTCTGACCAGATTTGTTAGACAGTTGTGCATGTCTGCATGTTCCCTGATGTAACTTTATGTTACCAAGCCATCCAGTAGTTGTGCAGTTCTCAGTTCCTTCACCTGATTAATTAGCATTTATTCATGGGATATTAGTTGCACTCCAAAAACGTAGTCATGAAAACATTATTCCAGGTACATCGTCTGACGCAGCTCTCAAATCCTACGAGCCCATGTGGAGTTAGTTTAGCCACAGCATGCTGTTTTGCTTTAAGACGTCACTTAAAGGAGCGGTACTATGCATTTTCCTGGTACGTAGTGCTATTTCTATAGCACAATTGAGCTTTGCAATTGGACAACTTGAAATTAGCCTCTGTCTCTTTAAGAAGCTCTATGATACCGGCATAGATATTTGCATGAAAAACACTCGCAGTGCCTTTCTCTGTGTTGCTAATTGATGCCCATCCTTTGCTTTGACATATTCCTGTTAAAAAGGTCATTTTATATTTATCCAGTGAACAGTCTGTGTCCTATGAACAATACCAGTCCACTGGACTCTGGGGATTCAGATGACACACCGTCATCCATGTATAATACAAGGTTACCAGGCTTTTTACTGATAGTTATTTATCTGCTGCTTTAGAAAAAAAACAATAGAAAGGCTGATTATGATTTATTCATGTTCTATGTTTTTAGTATTCAGAGATTTTTGCCATTTAAAAATAGTTATTCCACATAAAATTAGCAACAAACTAGAGCTTATCTGCTGATAAAAGAAACTTTTGGTGCCATTTCCGGTGAAGACCTAGTAAGTTTGCATCTTGCTCAACTTGTCAGCAGCTTTCAGCTCGTTTCTTGTTGTCTCTCAAAGTTCAAAGTATTTCTTTAAATTCCCGCAGAGGGTCCAATAAAGTGAAACTTCCTAATGCATAATTCAACAAGTCCATTTAGATACTTGTTTGAAAAACAACAGCCGACTCTTCCAGGGCGAAATTGCTCTGAACAGTGAATCAATGAAACAAAATAACATTGAAAATGTGGTCAAAGCTTTAAAGACACAGATTTCAATATTGTTTTGCAGATTCCACAAAAAAAAACAACAACCTGAACCTCAAGTTTCTTTTTTTTTCACCTGACAGCCATACCTGAAACCAGTTCTGTCTCCTCTCAGACCCAACACTGCTTCCTAACTGCTAATTAGAGGAAACTACATTTTTGAATTAATTTAAGTTGCTTATCTAGAACATTGGATGAATTTTTACCAGGCCAAAAAAAAACAACAAAAAACTGCACTTTTGGTCTCTACCCTTAAACCATGAATATAAATTGCCATATTACTGTATTTCTTAACTTAGAGGTAAAGTCAGACATTCGGTTTATCCGTAAAATGTGACAAAAATAACAAGTTTGCAGAGGACCTCTTGTAAGAATTTTAACATGCTGTGTTTTGTGGCTGGCATGATGATGCAATATGCGAGAAATATGTTTTGGGTTTTATTTCTTTTGGATGTGAACTTGTAAGTGTTTTTTTTTTTTTTTTTACTTTACTGAAAATACAGCAATCAAGACTAGGGTACACTCGTTTTATTTTTATTTTTGAAGATTTTCCCTAGTGCATATGTGTGAATTATACATCAGTACTTGCACTCTAATATTTGAATTAATGTTTTTTAGGGAATTACAGACAGATCAGCATTCTTCCAGGTAGAGTGCCCAAGTTGCTTTATCCCTGTAATTTAACCAGATGTTACTTCTTCAGATGACATTTAGCCTTTTATTTTTTTTTTATTGCAGCTGCAAATTTTAGTCAAACTTAAAGGTGTTGAGTTTTGAGAAGGAACTTCTCTCCTGCTCATGTTAAACTAACTTCACTGTTTTGTGTTCAAGCACAACAGTGATCCCAAAGACGCATTAAAAGTGAGTTTGGCTGGCTTACATCGTTAGAGGTAACTTTTAAGGTTGGGCTACTGTTTCTGATTGGAGAATTGGTAACATATGAGGCCGAAGTTATACCAAAAGCTTGTCGATGTTTACCCGAAGCCTGTGGTCAAGTTGGGATATGCAATCAAATATTAATGGGCTGTGAAAAAAAGTCATTCCTTTCCACTGTCACCTCGTGCTTGATCAGGATTGGATTCCTGCAAAGTCAAACAATAACTTGACTTCCTTATGCCGTTTCACCAGCTGGCATTATGAACTAAATTTGACTGCTTTGTTCTGTAACTTGGGTCAAATGGGAATGGGTGTCAATTAATTTGACCTACTTTTAAAATCGGAAAGTGTTGGGTTTACTTTCTTTATATTGGATCACTTTGTTTTGTAAAGTGCTTTGAGCTGCATGGAAATACAAAGAACTGAATAATGAATCCTCTGGAAAAAGAACAGTTCAAATGCATAATAGAACAAAAGTGAACATGCTATCTAATGCATTATGCAGTGAAACCGCATATAACCAACATGGGATCACTCAATGAGAAAATAAAATGAATGCATGCTATGATACATAGCAGCAAATGATGCGACTACATTCTTTTCCCCTGCTCCCATTACCGTTGTGTCTCTTTTGTTCTTCTCTGCAACTGCGTTGCTTGTAGTTATTTAACAGTCACATTTCTCTGACAATCAGGACAAGTCTCAAAGATAATTTGATTTCTCTGTGTTTAAGTCTGCAGCGGCTCTGTGTGTCGGCGTGGGCAGCTTCAGCGACCCCAGCGACCTCCCAGGCCTCGCTCACTTTCTGGAGCACAGTGAGTAATTAACGCCGGAGAGTCCAATCGAGTTCCTCCTTTTCAGCGCCTTGATACAAAACCGAGATGGGACAATTAAAGGGCTGATTCGATGTGAAAAAGGTAACTTGGAACGGTGGATTCTGTAGATTTTATCCACACCACCGATCGGGACTTTTCAAACCAAATAATATTTGGATGAGAAAAGCTCCTAACTGAATGAGGTTATTGTGAGATTTAGTCAATTAATCCAAATTGTGGAAGAAAGGAGTCTCAGTGCTTCCTTTCTTCCTTCCTTTATTTATTTATTTTTTTAAGTAAACCTTTTTCTTTGAAGTGAAAGTTAGCCCTGACACATATTTTTCTGCTGCTACATTCAAAGCATTTTATTTTCATAGATATGCTTTGAATATAGAGACTGGAGAGTTATCGTCTTGTGCGTACAGTTTTGCTTTTGAGGCTTTTTTTTTCTGTGTGTGTGTGTTTTCTTTTTTTTTTCTTGAGTTATTATCTAGTTCAGATAGTCCATCTTTAGAACACATCTGTAGGGCCTGGCACTGCAAACCAGCGTCAGATCCTTGTGTAAAATGTCAACTCTTCTTTGCTGAATGTTCGCCCTCAGGGCTTTTCCGTCCTGTGTTTCTCCAGCCTCAGTAGAACGGGTGACGAGGTTGTGGGAAGACAGCGCAGCTAACCGTGCCTTAGGAAGATCGGAGGCTACATTTTCTATAAATACATTCTACCATCGCTCTTTTAATGTTGCCACTGATCCCGATGTTTTAATGCGTTTTTGTTTCTTTGTTGTGCGTGCCTTGTTTTCTTATTTTGTCACGTTCAAGATCCGTTAACGGGATGTGACAGCTCCCAGAATAACCCTCTCCTGAAGCCATGGTCATTCAGTGTGTGGAGGGGGACAAAGGACATAAAATTTTCTTTTAGGCTTTTTTTGACCCACTTTTCTCTGCTGCTTTTATTTCCATTCAACTCATTACCTGCAAAAAATAAAAAAAATCCCCCCCATCTAATACATGAGGTATAAAATGTAAGAAACCATTTTAGAAAAAGTCAAAAATCGTCAGTAAGGCTGGATTTACATTAAGCATTGTCGTCAGCTGTCGAGACTTATGGTGCCTTTTGAAAGAATTTCCACTATGCAGACATACTCTTCAGTTAATTGGATAAGATGTAGCATGATCAAGAAAGATGTTTTAAAAGCTTTGATGGGTACGTCTGAAACACCATCCATCCATCCATTTTCTTACACCCTTGTCCCTCAGTGGGGTCGGGAGGGTTGCTGGTGCCCATCTCCAGCTAACGTTCCGGGCGAGAGGCGGGGTCACCCTGGACAGGTCGCCAGTCTGTCGCAGGGCAACACAGAGACAAACAGCCATACATACACACACTCACACCTTGGGGCAATTTGGAGAGGCCAATTAACCTGACAGTCATGTTTTTGGACTGTGGGAGGAAACCGGAGTACGCGAAGAAAACCCACGCATGCACAGGGAGAACATGCAAACTCCACGCAGAAAGACCGGGGCTGGGAATCGAACCCAGAACCTTCAACAGCTCTACCAACTGCGCCACTGTGCAGCCCCATCTGAAACACGTGGTATTCATATGTATGATTCCCCCAGAGTCAAAACTTTGTAAAATATAATTTGCTACAATTACAGCTGCAAGACTTTCTGCATACCTGTCAGCTTTGAAGCAGCAGCAGCAGCAGAAGAAGAAGCAGACATCCCTAACTTCCATTTTTGCTGAATAGCTCAAGCTTTAACAGACTGGACACTAAGACTGTGTTCAGTGGGTCCTTAAGGAAATTTAGGTCTGGACAATATGGACTCTTACCACAATGTTTTGTGGTACTTTTGTGATAACAATAAAAAAATATGATATTTATTGCTGCTTTATTGGATAGTTAAAAAAGGTGCAATACTCAAGAACACAAATACTGTTATTGAAAAACATTCCCTTATAAAATAGGCTTCTTCAGGACGCCATTTATTTAAGAAATGTGATTTATAGCACTAACCTGCACAAATTGCACATTCTTTCTAATTTACTGGCATTTATTGATGTTCTTGTTGAGCAAACAGTGGAGAAAATGATTTAAAAAAAACAACATTTCTGACGGTGTTGTCAGTTTTGCTTTTTTATTTGATGTCATTAATTGAAATTTATCGAGACAATGAAAAATCAAAATTCTTATCACGATAAGACGTTTTTCCACAACAAACGATAATCAATCCAAAAATATCTGACAAAATGCCCAGCCCTCGTCTGGATTTTGACTTTTTAAAAGATTCAGATCTGCTGTTGATCGCAGCACATGATAAATGCATCATCGTAGTTTGTAGTATCATTAATTATTACATTTACTTACTTTTTGCGCTGTATTCTGCAGTGGATGAACAAAGCCCAGTAACTTGGGTGAGGTTTCCAGCACACCTCCTCCTGTCTGAACGTCTCTCCTTCCTCAGCCTGTCAGTTTAGGTTCAGTTCACATCGGAGGTCATGGTGGCCTCGATCACACATACTAAACAGCTGGTTATCTGATGGACAAAAGTGGTGAATAATTGTGAAGCGGAGGGAAAACGACACCTGGTTCTTAAATGTTTTTGCATGTTAAACGCCTAAAAATTGTGGCATGCATTTGTATCTTCACCCCCTTTTACTCTCACAGCCCTCAGTAAAATCCAGTATATTCAATTTCCTTTAGAAGTCACCTTGTCGGCTGGCAGATTGTCTGATTAATCCTCTCTTTGCCCTGCCAATTTTTGGTTCACAGCTAAGTCTCTTGGAACATTTGTCACACGCTTTCCATTTTTTGGACAGTGGACTGAACATTGCACTGTCAGATTTAGGAGATAATTTCAAAACCTTAAAATTGGGCCAATTCCGCAGTGTCGTCCGTATAGTAAATTGGTGATTTACCGCTAATCATTTGATTTGCGTGGACTTCGGGTAATGTAGACGATGGTCTCCTGCTTTTAATTACGCAAGAGCAGGACAAGTCGGGAGAATAAAGCTGGTGCAACTCAGACCGCCACACATCTTTAGGATTGCTGCCATCAGCAGAGATAGCTGAACATTGTTCTTAGGTCATTAGTCATAAAGGAAACCCATGTTTATTTTTAAAGTTTGTCATCCGAACTGTCAACAAATGCTCAAAGCTTCGCTTGGAGCCGTGTGAAGGGAGACAAAGCTATCATTTTCTGAAATGCGTTGTCAGGCTGTGTCTGTGCTTGGCTCATTGTCCAGGCAAACAAGAGGACCCATAAATAAAATACACATTTTTCAGAAAGCTGCTGTGATGGATTTTTCATTTATGCTATTTTATTTATTTATCCATTCACTGATGTACAGTCACTTTACGCTTCTCCTCCCCGTCACATCTGATTTCCTTGTTGTATTCCAGTGGTGTTCATGGGCAGCGAGAAGTACCCGTCAGAAAACGGCTTTGATGCGTTCCTCAAGAAGCACGGCGGGAGCGACAACGCCTCCACCGACTGCGAAAGGACCATCTTCCAATTTGACGTCCAGAGAAAAAGCTTCAAAGAAGCCCTTGACAGGTCTGGAAACGAGAGATTTCCTTTGTCTTTGTGTGTTTTTTTTTTTTTTTCTTTTCTTTTTTTTTGCTGCTGTCACCCTTCACAGGCGAACTTATTGAGAGCTTTTGCTTGACTGACGGATAAACAGAAAAGAAAGAAACAGAGCAGGAGAAGATAATTCAAAGAGGCCATTTAGACACCGTGTAAACATGATTCTGCTTGATTTTAGCAATGCGTTGAAATGACATGTGGGCACTATCCTTGTCCAGCTGTTAGAGTATAAAATCTGTTGGTGTCTTGCACACTTTGGATGATGTTTAGGAAGTTATTTTCTTCCCAAATATGTGCAAGCCAGGAAAATCTGGAACAACATTTTTTTGTGTTCTCAAAGACCAGTGCTGTTTGCAGCTCAGAGTTTTTAAAATAATTTTATCTTATCAGACAAATTGTCTCATCTGTATTTTAAATTTAATTGCATTTTTTCCCCCTTATAATGTAAAATACAAATTTTGTGCAGCTTTGTACAACTGGACTAATTGGTATTTTTATTTGCAAATACAACATTTAAATCCAGTCACTCATGTCCATCTTACAGTTGAGCCCAAAATTATTCATACTTTAGATTTAAAATGATTTTTGTTAAACTGAGAAGTTTGTTTCTCTGCACCCTTCGAAACAATCTATTGAACAACCTTAGTTTGCTTTACGGAAATCAAATGGTGTGATAATAGTTGCACGTGTCCACTGGTATTTTAACGATTTATCTTTGGTGATTTTGACTAATTCTCCATTTCTTTTTATCTCCATGTCTTGCTAAGCAAGCTGCTAATATAAACTCTGCATGGTGTTTGTTGTTCTCAGGTGGGCCCAGTTCTTTATCTGCCCCCTGATGATCCGAGACGCCATCAACAGGGAGGTGGAGGCGGTTGACAGCGGTGCGTCTCTCTGCCGCTGCATACCCCTTGCTCTGTTCTGAGATGATAAATCGTACCTCATCTATTTGGGGTTATAAACATCGCAGCTGCTCATGTAGCTCTTTTATACTCCATCTATTGTTGTGTTCTTTTCTTTTTTAAATCCTTTGTCTGCTCCTTGTTTGTGTTTTGTTTTTCCTGTCAGAGTACCANCTGGCTAAGCCGTCCGACTCCCACAGGAAGGAGATGCTGTTCGGCAGTCTGGCCAAACCTGGACACCCTATGGGCAAGTTCTGCTGGGGTAAGTCTGGAAAAACCACCACTGGGACACTTAACACACACTGGGCCTCCTTGGAGAATGTGCAGCAATAACACACAGGTGTGGTGAATAAAACGCCAATTTTCCAGCTTCATCTCTCTGCATTCAATCTTTGCTGCCCCGAAACTATCTTTGGTTCTTGTTAATCCATTCTAGGTAACGCTGAGACACTGAAGCATGAGCCGAAGAAGAAAAAGATCAACGTGTACAAGCGTCTGTTTGCCTTCTGGAAGGAGCACTACTCTGCCCACTACATGACTCTGGCTGTTCAGTCAAAAGGTCGGAAAAATCAATCCCGTTTTTCATTCATAAAGGCGCATTTAGTTAAGAGAAATTAACTCGATCCTCTAACTTATTTCATGCGGTGAAACAAACTGATTCCTTGAGAAAAAAAAAAGGCAATCTGCAGGTTCATAAATTAAACTGGCATTTGCACAAATAAGGTTCCTCTTCATCCATGTGCAGCCAGCTGGAGATAATTGCTGTCAGATAAAAATTATCCAACAGATTTTCAGGGTTTCGCTGAAAATGTCACGCAGGTAATTAACTACTTTATTCCAGTAAAATATTGACAAGTGTTGAATTTTTTTTTGTGCTCCGAACTATCATCCTCATTAAACCAATGAGTTAATGGTCCTCAGTATAAATATGATCCCTTCCTGTTGGGAGTCGTGTGTTTTTCTCAATCTACGGCGGTGTTGGCTGAAACAGATGTGTCACAGTTGTCCTAATTAGAAAAGCAGGAGACAACGTGTTAGACAATAAAACGTCTAAGAACTATCGGAACATGGTAATACAATCAAGTTCAAGTGTTTTCGAGCGACACACAATTTCTTAATTTCTTTTTTTTTTATGTTCGCTCCGCAGCTAAATCCTTTTTGTTAAGGAATAAGCCTGATAATAATTTGCGTTATAGCAGTAGGGAAAACATAATGTTTTATTCATTTTGATGGTAAGCAGGAGTAGGTAATAAACTTAAAACTTTATTACAAATACTTCATAAACTTTATAGTGGTGGTGAAAAAGCATGACTAAACTCAGCAGTGTTTTTGGCTGTAAAGCGCTCACTGCATGCAGTCTAGAAGCCCTTGTTCTAAACCATAAACACTATTTATTGTTCTCCTCATGGAAATATTGAAAACAGAGTTGCTCTTAAAGCAAAAGTCAAAATTCTAACTAAGGATGCTGTGTGTAGTTTTAAAACATCACATTGTTTGTGTTGTTGTCAGGTTCACATGGTGTGATGAG